GGCGCGCGCCTGTAATTCCGGCTACTCAGAAGGCTGAGGTGGAAGGATCGCCGGAGCCCAGCAGGTCAAGGCTGTGGTGGCCAGGAGCGGCCACTGCCCTCAAGTCTGGGCGACAGTGAGACTCCAACTAAAAAAAAAAAAAAAAAAAAAAAAAGATCAGGGCACAGAGGAAGCTGAGGGAGCAGAGGGGCTCCCCGCTGACCCCCCTTCTGGCCTCTGCTTGCAGGATAGATTGCCTGAGGAAGACGGCGCGGGCAGAGGGCATTCTGGGCATGTACCGAGGTGGGCATCTGGGCATCCCGGGGAGGCTGGTGGGCTTCCTGGAGGTAGCCAGTGTGGTGCGGAGGCCTCAGAGGCGCCCAGCTGAGGGGACGCTGGGCATCGGGGTTCCTTCCATCCGGGGGCGTCGGGGTTGGGATTGTGAATGCCGGGTAGGTCAGGACACTTAGCTTCTCCCTAGTCTGCGTTCATGGGTGGGGGTGGAGGCAGCCGTGTGTCGCCAGGCCTCCGGAGACCCAGGAGCCACCGGGGAGCCCGAGTCCCAGCACACGGCTGCTCACGTGGGATGTTAAGAGCCAGGGAAGCCAAGCGCGGAGGCTCACGCCTGGCATCCCAGCACTTTGGGAGGCGGAGGCAAGAGGTTTGAGACTGACCTGGGCAACATGGTGAGACCACGTATCTACAAATAAATCAAAAATTAGCCGGGTATGGTGGCGCGCACCTGTAGTTCCTGCCACTTGGAAGGCTGAGGCGGAAGGATCGCCGGAGCCCAGCAGGTCGAGGCGGCGGTGGCCGGGAGCGGCCCCTGCACTCCAGTCTGGGCGCCAGAGTGAGACTTCAACTCAAAAAAAAAAGACTACCTAAAAAAATTTAAGCCAGGCGCGGTGGCTCACATCTGCAATTCCAGCATTTTGGGAAGTGGAGGCGAGAGGATTGCCTGAGCCCACAGGTTTGAGACCAGCCCGGGCAACATGGCGAGACCACGTATCTACAATAAATCAAAAATTAGCCGGGCGTGGTGGCACACACTTGTAGTTCCAGCTCCTTGGAAGGCTGAGGTAGAAGGATCGTCTGAGCCCGGCGGGCCGAGGCTGCGGTGGCCGTGAACGTGCCACTGCCCTTCAGCCTGGGTGACAGAGTGAGACTTCAACTCAAAAAAAAAGAAAAGAAAAGAAAAGAAAAGAAAAGAAAATGTGAGCCGGCGCAATGGCTCACGCCTGTCATCCCAGCAATTTGGGAGCCAGAGGCGAGAGGTTTGTCTGAGCCCAGGGGTTTGAGATGAGTCTGGGCAACATGGTGAGACCTTGTCACTACAGTCAATCAAAAAAATCAGCCAGGCGTGGTGGCGCAGACCTGTAGTCCCAGCTACTTGGGAGGCTGAGGCAGGAGGATCACTTGAACCTGGGAGGTTGAGGCTGTGGCCGGTTAGCATTGTGCCACTGCACTCCAGCTGGGGCAACACAGTGAGACCGTGGCTCAGAAAAGAAAAGAAAGGAACACGTGTTTCAGTAAAACAGGCCACGGGGCCCGCCCTCACCCCTCGAGACCCCCTTTCCCCCAAGACGAGCCTGGCTGGGGCTGAGTGGCAGACTCGGGGCATTGCCACTTCGGGATGGCCTCACGCCAAACCTTTGTCTTCACTGCCAGGGGCTGCGGTGAACCTGACCCTGGTCACGCCGGAGAAGGCCATCAAGCTGGCGGCCAATGACTTCTTCCGGCAGCTGCTCATGGAAGATGGGTACGGCGCGGGGGACACAGAGACCCTTCACTGTGTGTCTGTGTTTGGGGGAGAGATGGCAGGGAGAGGATTGAAATGTGCCTCAGTTTACCCGTCTGCATGTATATACATATGGGCACACCTGTGGCTGAGGGTTAGGGAGAGGAAGGGGAGAGAATGAGTTGGTATGATTAGGAAGTGATAGATGGATAAGTAGATAGATCGAAGGAGCTAGTATCATTTGGAAATGAGGTAGGTAGGTAGGTAGGCAGATCGATAATATATAGAATATATACACAGATTTAGTCATCAGCCCCCTGAAGAACCTTTAAAAATCAGCCCAGGCCAGGCTCGGTGGCTCCGCCTGTCATCCCAGCACTTTGGGAGGCCGAGGGGAGAGGATTGCCTGAGCCCGGGGGTTCCAGACCAGCCTGGGTAACCCGGCAAGACCTCGTCTCTACAATAAATAAAAGAAATAAACCGGGCACGTTGGCGCATGTCTGTGGTTCCAGCTACTTGGAAGACTGAGGCAGAAAGAGCGCCCGAGCCCAGCAGGTCGAGGCTGCGGTGGCCGTGAGCGTGCCACCGCACTCCAGCCTGGGGGACAGGGTGAGACTCCAACTCAATCAATCAATGAATAAATAAATTAAATAAAATAAGATAAAATAAAATAAAAAGCACCCAAACATTTCCTGGTTCTCTCTGGGTCTCCCCCCAACCCCCACCCTGTTCCCATCCCCCAGTGATATTGCTTCAGGGTGGTCTCGGGGAGAATCCAAGAGAGTTTCTTGGAGACAGAAACTGAGACAGTTTCATTGTCACTGTCTTCAACTTCTGTGCAGTCCTGCCTTCCCAGCAGGCTTTGTTTCGTTTTATTTTTATGTTTTATTTAATTTTTTGAGTCGGAGTCTCACTCTGTCCCCCAGGCTGGAGTGCAGTGGCACCGTCTCGGCCACTGTGGCCTTGACCTGCTGGGCGCCGGGAATCCTTCCGCCTCAGTCTTCCAAGTAGCTGGAACTACAGGCATGCACCACCACGCCTGGCTAATTTTATTTTATTGAAGACAAGATCCTCAGGAGGATCACCTGAGCCCAGGAGGTTTGAGGCTCTGGTGTACTGTGAACTGGGCAACAGAGCAAGACCCCACTCAAAAAATGAATGACTGAATGAATGAATGTAGTCCCCTGTTTGTCAGAGACTGAGCCTGAGGGACAGGTGATGACTCACCCGGCCGGGTGGTGGTAGCCAAAGGCGACAGGGCTCAATGCCACCATGGAAAGTTCCATCTCTCGGGGGAGGGCGCAGGACCGGCCTGTGGTGGAAGGTCCCAACTCGCAACCCCACAGGACTCGGCGGAACCTGAGGATGGAGATGCTGGCCGGCTGCGGCGCTGGGATGTGCCAGGTGGTGGTGACCTGCCCCATGGAAATGCTCAAGATTCAGCTGCAGGATGCCGGACGCTCGGGTGAGGCCCGTCCTGACACCGCAGGGGCTGGGACTAGAGGAGGTCACATCCCGGCTTTCCAGGCCGCAGGAGCCTTTCCTTACGGGGTCCCCTCCCAACACTGCCGACTCCAGAACAATCAGCAGGCACAGAGTCCTGGTCCGAGAGCGGCAGGTGCACGACACCAAACGCGTCTGTCGGGGTTCCTTGGCCTTAGGCTTGAGTTCCTAAGGATTTCAAGGACTGCCCATGGCCGCGCCCTAAACACGTTAGCCATTAGGCATTTCATGCTCCAGAAGCAGGCTTTTAGTGGGAAGGCCGCAGAGGGCAGGAGAGAAGCACCCTGATTTTTTTTTTCTGATTTGGAGTCTCGCTCTGTTGCCCAGGCTGGAGTGCAGTGGCCGCTCCCGGCCACCACAGCCTCGACCTGCTGGGCTCCGGCAATCCTTCCGCCTCAGCCTTCCAAGGAGCTGGAACTACAGGCGCATGCCACCATGCCTGGCTAATTTTTTCACTTATCATAGAGATGACGTCTCGTCATGTTGCCCAGGCGGCTCTCGAACCCCCGGGCTCAGGCAATCCTCTCACCTCGGCCTCCCAAAGTGCTGGGATGACAGCTGTGAGCCACCGTGCCCAGCTGAAACACCCCAATGACTTTGGTTTTCCCTGGAGGAGAACTTGGGCCCTTTCTGGGTCCTGGTCCTCTCAGAAACAGGGAGTGGTAGCAGCCAGGTCTGGTGGTGAACCTGGGGGCTGAGGTGGGAGGATCGAGAGGCCCAGCCAGTCTGGGCAACGTAGTGAGACCTTGCCCCCCCCGCCCCACAAAAAAGGCCAGACATAGTGGCTCACGCCTGTAATCCCAGCACTTTGGGAGGCAGAGATGAGAGGATTGCCTGAGCCCAGGGATTCGAGATCAGCCTGGGCAACATGGCTGAGACCTCGTCTCTACAATAAATCAAAAAAATTAGGCCGGGCTCAGTGGCCCAGCCTGTAATCCCAGCACTTTGGGAGGCCAAGGCGAGTGGATTGACTGAGCTTGTGGGTTTGAGACCAGCCCAGGCAATTTGGCAAGACCTCGTCTCCACAATAAATCCAAAAATCAGCCGGGCGTGGTAGCGCGCGCCTGTAGTTCCAGCTCCTCGGAAGGCTGAGGCGGAAGGATCGCCGGAGCCCAGCGGGTCGAGGCTG